TCTAAAATAAAATTATCCGCGTCTTCTTTATCCACGATCGGCTCTCCAGAAGAAAAAAAAACCTCAATCAGCCTTTAAATAGGTAGTCCAAACTGGCAAAAAAGTGCGTTTTAGGGTCAGTTTTTGCGGTTTTCAAAAAAAAAATTCACTATTTCTTGTTGTCCTATAAGAATAAAAATTATATGTCAATAAAGTTGAAGTCTTTATCTGTCGTAATCTGGTATTTTTATATCTGTAACACATGTTTGAATGTGTTTTATATTTGTTGAAAAAGTATCAGTGACGTCAACACATTTCACCGTTTTGCGAGTACCGATCGACCCCACACTGTTTCATTTGGTTGCGGCTTCGCGACGAAGCATCGTAGAAGCATAATCTTAATGTCATTTTAAAGAGCGAATGTTTGATGTATAAATTGAAAAAATAACTTGCTTATTTCATTTTAAAAAATCAGTTTTTAAACTTTAAATGACGATATATACACGAAAACAAACTAATTCTGTTTCAATTTTTACACTGATGTAAAGTTCACTTTTATAACTACGTTGTGTTGTAAATTCAAGTATTTCTGATTTACGGTCGCGAAGCCGTGCCCTCAATAAACATATAACCCTCGAGTCAATTTTCAGCCCCGAGTGAGTAGCTCGCCGAACGGTTTTAAAGGTTGACGACCGATGATGCTAAACGGATTTTACCCTTACAAGTTGTAAGTATCATTTTTAAAGTTTCATTTCCATTTTAATAAATGGATTTTAAGTTTGAATGTCAGTTTGGTTTAATTACTACACGTTATTAATGTAAATTTGAACGCTACTAGTCCACGGTTTTAGCGTGTGAACTACGCTTGTACACAGGGTGTGTTTAGACGTGAAGCTATTTAATTCAGGACATTCTAGGGACTTAAAATATGGATGCACTTAACTATTAGATGCTAGTGTTTACTAATTCTTTAAAATTTATCGAATGGGATTAATGATAGGGTCGTATTACTACAGTTTATCTGGACTATAACGTCAAAATTATGAATCGACAAATTCAAAATGGCCACCAGACAATCCTGGTTACTATGTGGACGAACTCAATTATTTGCAGGGAACGAAGGTTAAATACTTATAAAATATTAATGAAACACAAAAGAAATTTATAATTATAATAACTATACATTTTTATCGAATTATTTAAAACAAAAGACAATAAATTTTAAGGACTAATGTGATTATTTTTTTTATTTTCTGTTGTTTACTCTGATTCTGATTCGCCTGCTGAATAATGTGAAATGGTCTGCGCCAGTCACCGTAATAAAATGTACCAGATCAATTTTTAGATGGTGGTGCAATTTATTAAGATTCTACATGTTGTGACTTAGTTTTAAATGTTATATTAGTTGTAAGTGTAAGTAGTACTAGTAGTATTTCTCATTATTTATTTTAAATGCATATAGTAACAATGAAAGACAGTTAAGTTGTCCTATAGGATGTTGATAACCACAGTATGGCATCTTCATCGTTGGATATCGCAACCAGTGTGGCACAAGCAACGAATATTTCATTCAGTAGAATTACTATTAAAAATATACTATCAAGTATACATTACTTTTAACAAAAAGGTGTTTTCAGGCTTTTTCATATGTTTCGAGTTATAGAGTCATAGGACAAATAGTAGGCCTACACAATAGGCTAGTAGTAAATTTAATTATATTTAATTAATCACTAAATAAATTATTTATTCCATAGCTGGAGACATTCATGGTGGCCTATCAAGAACTTTCCTACGAGGGAAGGAAAGGAGGCCAAACCCCCCCCCCCCCCCCTACAGTTCCCAAAACTTATCGCTTACTCTTGATGCTCCACAAGATCACGGTTGAGGGAAACAGGACGTACAAAGATGTGGAGTTGTCGTTTTAAAAACTGTTCCCCCAAAGCAGCTATCAACCCGATAGGTTTGAATGTAGCATCAACTGCTGCATCACTTGTAGACATCACGTCTTAATTAGATTACATTACTGCATTAAATTTTGATTCTTTTGCTCCTGCACTAGATAACTGTGGCATTTTTAAAAATAATATTTTAACTCATGTGATTTTTAAAAATAATGAACACATTCTTCCTGTTAATATTACCATTACAATAGTTTTAGAGTTATTCTATGTCCAAAGCAAAAAAAAATTGATTTTTTTTTGTATGAAAATAAAAGTGACCAAAACGCATTTTTGTCATTTTCAATTATTTTTTTACCCTAGAAAGACTCATTTTAGATGACTGAAAAAAATTGGGCATATATATTGCAAACTTTGCAGTAACTTTACCAATTTCTACATTTCTATGTTATTTAGTTTAGAACATATGGGTTCTCAAAAATGGCACTTTTTGAAAATCAGTTTTTTACCAAATTTTGTTTTTTTAAAAATCGCATAACTTTTTTATTTGTTGAGATATTTTCATAAAATTTGTAGCATAGAGCTTACAATTAAAAGTTCTTTCATGACATACTCACTCCAGAAGTCTGCAATCAATAGTTAATTTCAGTTTGGACTACCTACTTTAAAAAAAACTGTTCACTGCCGACAGTTAGCTGTTATAGTGATCGTTTGTATTCAATCATCTTAACTCCCCTTTTATTATTGAATTTAGTATTTTTTTAAATTAAATTATTGAATAACCTAAGGTCTAATTCGTTTTAAAAAAATAGTTATTATTACATCATCAACAGAGAAAGTTTGAACGAAATACGTGCATTAGAAGTGGGTCAGAATTAAGTTACAAGATTTGCCACACCCCACAAACTAACAAACATAGTGAACTAAATAAAAGCTAATAACAAAACATACCAATTCTTCTTTTTATAATTTATTAAATATTTTTACCTTTATTTGAGAAATACAAACAATTGTATCAACCAAGCTCATTAGCAATTAAAAGTTAAAGGTAGGCTAGAAAAAAAGTATAATGTGCAAGTAATGTTAATATTAGAGTAGCATATATTGAAAGTTGTGTAATAACAGAAAACTTATAAAGTAGGATTTTGGCCAACAAAGCATCCAGAAAGTAAGCTGGCTAGGCAAGCATGAGAAAAAAAAATTCTAATTGCGGTAGTTCATGCTAGAATCTTGTTATAAAATTGCATCCATCTTTAGATGGTAGTTCATGCTAAAGTAGAGTCATGTGATAAAATACTTTCCATCTTTAGCTTCACTTGGCCATCGCCTACCCTCGTGAATTCATCAGGACTGTCATCCACCAGATTCACATTGGTGCAACAAGATTCATGACCGCCACATTTAAAAAGGGAAACTATAATGAGGTAAATGCTAGAGAATGTAAAACTCTATACTTTTTTCATTCACTTATATTAATCAATCAATGTGTTTATATATATATATATATATATATATATATATATATATATATATATATATATATATATATATATATATATATATATATGATCATGCTAACAATATTTATTATGCAATTTTTAACAGGACACCATTTGTTTTCAAACCCCAAACATACCAGGCTGGGAGTGTATCTGTAACTTCAGCAAGTTTGGTTATGAGAATTATTACTGTGGTAGACCGAGGACTAATCAGTAAGCTTACACATACCTACACCCTCTGCATTTATATATATATATATATATATATATATATATATATATATATATATATATAATGTATAGAATACTGCTTAAGTAGATAAAGACTGCTTTTCCTCCAAGGGGCTCAACCATGTGTGACCCGTCTAGTGTTGGCAGCGTTAAATTTGAGAACTTTTGCCTTTTGCGCTAATTTTCTGCCACAATATTTTTTTCCTGCGACTGCTGTTGGTTGTGGGAGAGGAGCGCGAGGTCGCCTGCAAAGTCCAAGTTGTCAGGTTGTTTCCACAGTGTTCACTGAATTCCGTTTCTACGAGCTTTGGTTGCTGTTTTTATTACTCAGTTGATGGCAAGAAGAAAGAGGAGTGGCCACAGCAGGCATCCTTATCAGATTTTGGTTAGTACGTGAACGCCGTTTGTAATTTGGCTTCATTGTACTGTAATGACCGCTCTCCGACAGCCGCGGAGGGAGCGGACACCCCGGGTTCGTTTGGGATGGCACTGACAGAAGTCACTACTAATGAAATTCCAACAACTTGACGTGAGCTCGTTATTGATGTCTAGGGGTAAAACACGAAACATTGAAGAGACTCAACACGACTTAAAACTGTCAATACCCTTTTAATAAGTGTACAAGAAATTACGACACTGGGTCTATACAAAATGTACAGACTTTAAGAGTACCATAAATAAAATCAAAACTCCAACTTACAGTTAAAGAAAATCACTATATATCACAGCTGTGGCTTAGTATAGTAAACACCATTAAAGAACATTACTTGACACAACTGAATGGCATTATAAATACCACAAATATTAATAAGAGACATAATGACTCTACAACAATAGAAAACCAAAAAAAAAGGTCAACCTATCACTGATGTGACAAAGGGTGCAATTATACAACAGAACAAAATATCAGTAATACTACAAATGGTTACACAATACCTTATATAAGGTGATAAAATATGCCACAAACTACACAACTGAAAATGGCGCACCAAAACATACGGCACATCTCTCTCCTAGTCCCAAGGACAATCTAGCTGCCTCTAGACTTGAACTGCACGAGATTAAATACAGCTCAGTATTAGGGGAGATCACTCACAAGTCCTACGACTATTGATTGAGGATCTGTTAAGGATCCTCACGGTCGCAAGATCATTGGTCGAGGGTCTGCTAGGGATTAAACAATCCATTCATATGACGTGACGGAGTTCAGTTGACCGATGAGAACCGGTGAACTAACAACTCTCCCAAGGTCAATCACAAAACTCAGTAGACTAAATAATATAAATAAATAAAAAGACCTCAGTAGGTCACAGTACGTCTGCCCGTCTGTCGTTCTCAACGAGGACTAATATTCTCATTGGACTGCCGTCGTAGCTTACGACCTACCAGAGGTTATTTCGGTCCACAATGTCGAAAAAAAATTTCATAACCCATGAAATCAACGTACAGTTGTGAGTTCCCACCTATTGACTGCCCGATTATGATGCGGTGTTGCGATCTAGTCCGTGCAAGATTTATTCTGTCGGAATGCTGGTTGCTCGTTATTCAAGGGGACTGTTAAACAATTTTCTGGGTATTAAGAGGAGTGTGATTCCCTTGTACTTGTCACGGTAGCTGAGTGTACCTTTCTTGTGGAGCTTCATCAGACGGCATTCCAAGCGGTCTGTTGATATTTCCTAGTCCTCCGCTTCTTGTCGAAGTGCTGTTTCATGTTTCAACTGTATATTGTCTACTCTCCAAATAATCTTTCCTTGAGTCCCCTCTTCAACTCTCTAAGGACTTCTCTGTAGTCTTCCTGTGTATCTACCTTTACTGTTCTTATTCTACTCTTGTAAAATACATCTTCTATGATCTCATATATATAAGTATATATATATATAAGTATATATATATAAGTTTATATATATATATATATATATATATATATATATATATATATATATATATATATTGTAATCCACAGTCTAACATGCGACGACTGGATAAATGGTGGATATCTAAGCGTTCCAACTCCACATGACGTTACAGGCGCTGAAAGAAGTCTGATTAAGTCTATTGCCAGGTAAGTTTTTTTTTTTGTACATTCAGATTTAAAGATAGAGGTAAAAAACCTTTCATTAACGTGCAATCATCAATCTTTTAAAAAATGATTTAAAAATTCAAAATTTTTATCTTTAAACATATTTTGCATTGCAAAGTTTACAATGGCAATCTGTGTTCTTCTACCTCTACATAAATGGAACTATTAAACATTTGAGTTAAACTTTATTAGAACTAAAACAGTTTTTTTCTTGCTTTTACGGCAACTTGAATATTGTTCCACAGAATACCACAACAGAGGACAGTAGCTCACAATTTTAAAATATCTACAAAGAATACAGGTATTGTGGTTGTGTTGTTCTGTGAATCTTTTGGACTTTTCTCTCTGGGGAGAGGGAGGAGAAAACTTGAAATACTATTTTTTTTTTGGGGGGGGGGGGGCGGACGACACTGGTGTTGTTTCACTGTTTACCAACATTTAATTTCATTCGTAAGTTCACCGGCGTTAAAGTCGATTTTGTTGATCTAGGGCTATCTAAACTAAACACAATAGAACACCAGATATTGTTAAGTAGATTCAATTGATATTAGGATGAGCATTTTTTCTAACCCATTAAATCTCCAGTGCGTTGAATGGTTCAGTTACAAGTTGGCACTAGTAATAATGTTGTTTCTTTTTTTGCGCTTATGTTTTGTTTGTGTTAGCGTTGTGTATGGTGTTTTCTGTTCCCGAGTTGGTCCATTTAAAAAAGATTCACCGTTGCGAAGCAATACTGGTATGCAGCAAGTATATATATATATATATATATATATATATATATATATATATATATATATATATATATATATATATATATATATATATATCGCTATATTTAAAAAGTTCTTGGCCTTCAAAATCTTAGTCTTTATTTGTTTTGTATTTTGCAGGCAATGTTTTTCCTGAATTACAACCCTGTCACATGTCAAATAAAAATGTCACCTGGACAACAGCGATGCCTAAAGGCATCTGGACACCTGGCAATGTCTGGAAGTCTCTGGTCTGTAAGGACGTAGGGGTCATCAATACAGACTGGACATTAAAATGCCTCAGAAACACATCCGTCTGGATCTTCGGGGACTCAAATGCCAGGTTTACCTATGATATGATTCTAGCCCTAACAAAATGTAACAAAACTGAAGGTGGGTACCCATTGAGAGGAACATGCATTAAGCCAGAGACTGGACTCACCATAAATGTGTTTTGCCACGAAGGACCGGTGTATACATACTCACAAAGAAGCGACAATTTTACTGTCCCAAGTTTTATACAGAAGCTCCCAAAGAACCAGAAACATATTCTCATCATTCAGTATTACCTCCACTACACGGCTTCCCATCTCGCTGTGCTGTCGTTACGTATGAAATCTCTGAGAGCCGCCATAGAAAAACTGCTTGAAGAAAATCCCAACGTCTTGATAGGACTTAGAGGTCCTCACATTGCTTCTTTATATTACAATTACAACCATGCAATTGGAGGAGATCCTTTAGGACCCCAGTATCTCCATATAATACGAGATAGGTTCAAAGGCCTAGAAGATAAAGTCGTGTTCTTAGATTTGTGGGAAATGTCAATTGGAATAGAAAACTTTGATTATCATCCACCACAGTATGCTAATCTTGAGATGTTCAAGTTTTTGTTGTCTTTTCAGTGTAATTAGCCCGAAGGACGCTTTTCCACACTCTAATTGATCACATGAATTGTTATATTTAAAACTTACAATTTATTATTAGGTTAAATTTGGTTTAGTTTGTTTTATTTTTCACTCGTTATATAGTAATTACATGTTTTGCATTTAATAAAATTTCTTAAAATGAACCCTCTTATTCATATATTTTTCCCTTGTATTTTGTATTTTACCTTGTGGGGTAACAGGCCCATTTTTTTAAAAAAATGTATGTGTTTTTAGACTTTAAGTTATCTTGGTCAGTTCTTGATTAGTAAAATTTTACAGAAACAACATGGAATGACAAAGTTTAGTAATATTTCATTCAAATTAAATAACCTTTTTAATGGTAGCGTTAAAAATTGGTTGATCTATTTATTCTTCTTATTTGTTCCTAAATAGATATATGTCGGAGGATTTAAACAACAAGTCCAAATTTTTGGATGAAATGAACTGTGATCTTCAGAAATGGGAGAGGGGGAACACCCGTACAGCTACACCTTTTTTCTGCGTGGAGTATATTGAGGCCAGAGTTTAGTCTGCGTCTTATTGTACACGTACCAGTACCGTAGAACGTACTGTGCGTTCTTTGCGTTATGCCACAAGGGTTCATCTGCACCAACTTATAATTTCTATGAACATGTTCATCCATTTTAAAAGCTCATTGAATTCGACAAATATACTAACAAACGAACTTAGCTATTTATTATATTATTAGCAGCACTACGCCTCACAAACCCCTCTCTTAAAGTCCACACTGAACCATACTCTATTCCCTTTTTACACACAAACTCCGCACCAACTTCACCCTCATTTAACATTGCACTTACCAACAACGTTAAAAATTACCTTTTAGCGCAATTTCCTTACAGGAATTGCGATTATTAACTCGTCATTTCTGGATGGATGGATGGATGGATGGATGGATGGAAGGATGGATGGATGGATGGATGGATGGATGGATGGATGGATGGATGGATGGATGGATGGATGGATGGATGGATGGATGGATGGATGGATGGATGGATGGATGGATGGATGGATGGATGGATGGATGGATGGATGGATGGATGGATGGATGGATGGATGGATGGATGGATGGATGGATGGATGGATGGATGGATGGATGGATGGATGGATGGATGGATGGATGGATGGATGGATGGATGGATGGATGGATGGATGGATGGATGGATGGATGGATGGATGGATGGATGGATGGATGGATGGATGGATGGATGGATGGATGGATGGATGGATGGATGGATGGATGGATGGATGGATGGATGGATGGATGGATGGATGGATGGATGGATGGATGGATGGATGGATGGATGGATGGATGGATGGATGGATGGATGGATGGATGGATGGATGGATGGATGGATGGATGGATGGATGCATGGATGGATGGATGGATGGATGGATGGATGGATGGATGGATGGATGGATGGATGGATGGATGGATGGATGGATGGATGGATGGATGGATGGATGGATGGATGGATGGATGGATGGATGGATGTGTTTCCGCAGCTTTAAGTCGTCTTTAAGTCGTATCTCCTCCTCAACGAAGCAATATCGAGGACTAGTTCCAAAAGCAAATATGTTAAACAAGTTCCGAGGATGAACATAGGCCAAAAAAAATTCCAGAAGTCCTTCCTGGATTTCCCGGAAAAACCAAAAAAACCTCGAAAAAATGCAGTTTTTGGCTCATATCTCGACAACCAGACCACTTAGCGACTTGAAACATTTACCAATCGATTCCTGCCATAATTTAGAACAATATTGCCGAAGAAAGTTTAAAAAAATATCCTTTCGTTCGGTCACAAAAAAATTAATTAAGAATTTTTAAACTGAGCATCGTGTAGGCCTAGGATGATATTTTTAATTTAAACTGAGCATCGTGTAGGTTTTTAGCGCAAAGCGCTGAGGTTCGAAAGGATTTTACCATAGCGAATGAGCGGAGGTTCGAAAGGATTTTTAAAAATTTAAACTGAGCATCGTGTAGGTTTTTAGCGCAAAGCGCTGAGGTTCGAAAGGATTTTACCATAGCGAATGAGCGGAGGTTCGAAAGAATTTTTTTTAATTTAAACTGAGCATCGTGTAGGTTTTTAGCGCAAAGCGCTGAGGTTCGAAAGGATTTTACCATAGCGAATGAGCGGAGGTTCGAAAGGATTTTTTAAATTTAAACTGAGCATCGTGTAGAATTTTAGCGCAAAGCGCTGAGGTTCGAAAGGATTTTACCATAGCGAATGATCGGAGGTTCGAAAGGATTTTTACGTAAGTCTGTGAATTCTAAAAAATTAATTAAGGAAATTGCGCTTAAATTGTCACTAGACTTTTTATTAACTTGTTTTTTTTTAAAGATCTAGTTCTCATCTTGATTTTTCTCTATCTATTCTATCGATGTTTATGTTGGAGTTTTTCTGCCCTCCACCCCATCCCCTCAACTCCACCTGCCCTATAAGTTTACCTTGCGCTTGTGCAAATATGTCACTTGTTTACCTTACTTTTTTACTTCCTCGAATACGAGGTAGAGAGAAAGTATAGTAATCGTGCAAAAAAATGAAACTGGAGTGATTTCCCAAAAACGTTATCGAATATCTATAATATAACGCTGCTGGTAGTGTGTCAGTCCTTCCTTCCTTCCTTCCTTCCGTCATCGCTATAGCTTTTGGAACCATAAAAGTAAACATCGCGCCATGAAGTGCTTTTCAGTGCACCGCAGTGTCTTATTATAAGTATTAGAGTAGGGTTTGTTTATATAGCGGCATAGAGCTATTTTATAATTTCCACTGTTTGTACAATTTTGCATAACGTAAAGAGAATATTAAATACACGCACATTGCTAAAACATATTAAAAGTATCAATGTCAAATATCATTTTCGTTTATATTCCCAGAAAAAAATGGATACATTTCAATAACATAATAACAGTACGGTAGAAAAATCAAATTAATATAACTCTTTTTTTCTAATTTTGACAAAAGAGGTAATTTAAAAATACATTAAACTCACGCTAATAAAAAATGTGAATGCAAATATACGGTCCTCATAGAAGGAATTAGTGTTGCAATAATATAATTAGCAAAATGTGAATGCAAATAATGTGGATGTGTAAGAGGAAATTATTGTTAGAAAATTATAATTAGCATGGATTGATAAAAGGCAATCTTTTATTTATTTTATTCACTGAATGTAGGCCCTACTGTTTATTACTTATAATTTTTAATCAACTATTCAGCACTATTATAGGCGCGTCATCACGTTCATTAGGTGCGCAATGGTTTTAGTTATGAAACTCAATTGTAAATTTTTAAAATTTAAAGTACTGGAAAAAAAATGCGTGAATGGATAAAGTGAAATATTGTAGGTAAAACACGGATATTTTAAATACTGCCTATTATTTATACTGTTTTCTAATTATTATTCTGTCGGTTTGCGGACAAGCTAGGGGTTTTATAGGAGAGGCGTTGCGATGAGGGGGGAGGGGCATATGTCCCCGGGTGCCGACCTTAGGGGGCGCCAAAGTGGGTTGGAAAAAATGTGCGAGAGGGGGGGGGGGTGGTTGAAATCGAAAGTTTTAGGGAGGGGGGGGGGGGGGGAAGGGGTGCAAATCGAAAGTTTGAAGGGGGTGCAAATCACCGGAAAGGGCGCGATTTGGCGCTACGGGCAAGACTGTGAGCAATCTGCCTTTATGATTGCATTTAAATTTTGTTTATGTTATGAGTGTTGTTTATTTTTTCGTTTTTTTTTTTTGTTTTTTTTTTTGCGTTCGTTTGTGTTGTGTTTAGTTTTGTTCTGTTCCCAAGTTGGTACATTTAAAAAAGATTTACCGTGGCGGAGCACGGGATGCAGCTAGTTCTTATATAACACTACAGCAACTCGGGATATACACATGATTTTTAATCCATTTTTACTTACTTAAACTTTTTTAAATAGAATAGAAACATGTAGAAAACAGAATTGCATACCAAGTGAACGTCAAGCAATATGTGTATAATATTGCGGAATATTATAAGTAGGCCTACTTTATAAATTCACATGCTTTTTTTGAGAAATCGGAAATAGCGTAAATAACTGCTTCCTTTCAACGGAAATTACTCAAAAATTTGATAAAAGGCAGAGAATTATATCTTTTACGTACGTGTGAAATTTCATTATCTATACGAAACGGTACTCAAGTAATAGCCTTTTAAAAAATTGAAATTAGAATAAGTTTTCAACGATTTCCGGTAAACGAAAATGGACTTCTTTTTACCGGAAATTGCTGAAAAGTTGATAGAGAACTACTAATTTGATATAATACTTATATATGAAATTTCATCAACCTAGCTGTAACGGTACTCAAGTTATCGTGTTTAAGGCACACAGACACACATACACACAGAAATACGGATAAGATTGCAAAACTATGTTAATCCGACTCAGGGAGCTGTAAAACGTCGAGATTTGCAAAAATCTCGATTTTTTACTATCTCGTATATACATAGTCTTGTAACTGTGCAAAAACTCGGAAAAACATAATTTTGCATTCTTGTCCGTATGTCTGTGTGTGTGTGAGTGTAAACACGATAACTTGAGTACCGTTACAGCTAGGTTGATGAAATTTCAGATATAAGTATTTTATCAAAATCGTAGATCCGTATCAATTTTTGAGCGATTTCCGATAACCGGAAGTGGTACTATTTCTACTTTGACTTTTTTCAAAAGCCTATAACTTGAGTACTATTTCAGATAGATATATGAAATTTCACATGTAAGTAAAAGATCTAATTCTCTACCTTCTGTCAAATTTTGAATAATTCCCGTTGACCAAAAGTACTAATGTACGCTATATCCGATTTCTCAAAAAACGCATGTAAATTTATAAAGTACTAATAATATTGCGCACTATTATGCACATTTTGTTTTGGCGTTCGCTTGGTGCGCAATTCTTTTCTCTACTAGATTCTATTCTATTTTTAAAAGTTTAAGTAAACAAAAATCATGTCTATATTCCGAGTTGCCATCCCACGTAGTGTTATATTAGAATATTCGAGAAAGTTTAGGGGAGATCACTCCCGGTTTATTTTTTTGTACGATTACAGGACTTTCTCTATACTTCATTATATACGAGAAAGTAAAAATTCATTAGAAAAATT